AGCGATGTTGCCACTGGTTTAGAGTAGAAGCGGCAACACCGCATAAACAAAAATATTTTTAAAGTGTAGATTATGGTCGTTTATCCCGGTTGCCAAATTTTCAAAATGATCCGCTTTTTAGTTCTCTATAAACGTCTAATACGCCATCCACCGTGGGACACCCTGTATAATACCACAAGAGAAAAAATATTGTTGGCAAAATTTTCGACTGGTATGAAAGTTTGTTGCTTGGCAATTTGGCAAATGACATCACAGAACATATCACCTCTAGAAAAGTATCTGCAATGTTATGTACCGGTTATGAATTACAGCGCCATCGTTGACTGAAAACCCAACTAATCGAGCATTCTTGACAAAAAGGCGAATTGATTTTTTTCATATATTATTATTTTTATTATTTTTAAATAATTTTTAATGTTCAACTGCATTTGGCTTGCTGACTCCTCTTAGCTCTTTTCGCCTCAATTTTTTGAAAACTATGACTGGCAGGAAGTTTCCGATGTCGAACATAGTGCAAAAAGAGTTAGTAAGTTAGCAAGAGACACGCAGCTATAGGTAGATCGCAAAGTAAATACGAATAATAAATACAAATACGAACGAAACGAAACAAACGAGTAAATACAAAAAAATACGAACAAAAATTAGGGTTTTTTTCAACCAAAACTTTTCGAATTGTCACTTTAACGCGCGTGGGGACCATGGTTTACAACAACACAATAAAAATTCAAATTTTGACTTTCTAAATGACAAAATAAATGACAAAACCAACCAAGACAAATCACTGTTCACACCACAGATACCTGTAAATTTCTCTTATCTCCCGACAGTGTCGCCATCGTTGAATGCAAACCTAACTAAAAACTTTCGTCGCGATTCTCCCATTTGAGATATTTTTCTATAGGTGATATGTTCTGTGAATGACATTTTTGACAAAACCACTCGCCTGGCGGCTCGTGGTTTTGTGATTTCATGAGCGAAATTATCAAAAAGCAACAAATCTGAATAAAACCAAGAGAATAATTTTGCCTACATAATTTTTTCTTAAGTGATATTCGGCTGGACTATTTCACGAGAAAAACAAGCCAAATTTTCATTTGGAAAATTTATTTTCTTTAGGTGACACTTGTCAAACTTAATAGTTTTTTACATTAACCATACAAAATTTTGTCGCTGAAAAACCATCATGTTGGTTTGTCCAGGTAGGGACAGGTAGGAGTTTTGTCAGTAAGAAACCGGCCGTTCCTATGACATTTTGCCAGTGTAAAACACTCTAGTGAAATAGTCATATATTATATCACAAGACCTTTAAATTTAATCGATTAAACTATCCAACATATTTTGAGCATGATTTTGCTTGGCAAATAGTTGAATGCACAATAACTTAATAAAAGACCGAGACCGCCGAGGGCTTTTGTTTAAAAGTTATTGTGCATGAAACTATTTGCCAAAAAGCAAAATTATGCAAAATATATTTGGATAGTTTAATCAATTTAAATTTATAGGTCGAGTGGTATACGGCTAGATTATTTCCTGAATAATTAGGATTGAATTGTTGGCTTCAATCCTTCCAAAGAGTTCTATTTATTATAAAATGTCAGAATATTTCTATCAAAATTCTGTCAAAAAAGGTAAACAAAAATTTAATCGCTGATAAACAAGGTCTTGTGAAATAATCACTTATTTAAACAAAATTTATTCAAAAAATGACGTTGTCTGATTGGTCTATTTTATAATGAATGAAATAATCAAATTTATCCGTTTTCAGGTCCCTAGATTACGAAAATCATGTTTTCTCAATTCCATCGGTCTGTCGGCGCTCTACAAACCGACAGACAGACATGTTGGTCTGTAGCGCTCCAACTCAATAACGGTTCAACCTAGAACAACGATTTTTGGTATACACTTCGAACCCCTTCCCGCGGGGCTAATGTAAGGGTTTTTGTTCACAGATATACACGGTTTTCCAAAAACCATGGGACACTAACAAGAACGGTTAATAATACGAAGTTGGTAACATTAGCAAGAAAGTACTGTTATTGGAACTCACTAAAGCTACGTTTTCGTTTTCGTCGGTTTTTTTATTCCTTTTCAAGCCCTTTGTGTTCAAACATATTTGGTCGTATATTTCCAAAACTACTTACTTCGGAAGAATCGTTCAAATTTGAACGTTTCCTAGGTTCATCGGCTCTACAAGATTGGAACCTGAAAGTTTGAATCCGACGTTTCGCCTTTGGTGTGGCTGTGGTGGTTTGCCGAGGGAAGTCATGGGTAAAGGCCCAGAGCTGGGATCGTTAGGTACTTGAAAAAAGTAACGCGTTACTTTACAGTTACTTTTGCTAAAAAATAACTCGTTACTTAAAATTTACAGTTACTTTCGAATAATGATAACTTTATTTTCGTAACATATTGGAAAGTAACGCGTTACTTTAACTTCGTTGCTTTGAAAGTAACTTCTTTACTTTAGGAGTAGTTCGTTACTTAAAAGTAACTCGTTATTTGAAAGTAACCCGTTACCTCAACGCGTTAGTTTGAAATAAAGCGCTACTTTCAAATAAAGCGTTACTTCAAATATAATTATTTACGTCGAAAATTGCGTTACTCCTTAATTTGACTCACCAACACAGTAGTCCAAACAATCAAATAAGACCTATACGAAATGCCAATATGTTTTTAGTTTGTGAGTCCGACTATGTGAAAGAGTTTTGTTGCAAAATTGAAATGGATTAAGGATTAGGCGACTAAATACAGAACTTGGTTTTGGACAAACCTGCTTTGTGAAGCGTCCCAGTGTCTTTAGAGCAGAGGCGGCGCGTGCCACGCCCAAAAACGATTATTTTGAGCTTTCAAAACAAATTTTCTATACTACCCACATTTTATTTGACATACAAAGTTTTTGGATTAGGTACTTATTTTCCTTTTCCTCGATCGTCAATTATTTGTAAAGAAGATGAACAAATTGAGAGAACGCGTTACTTTTATAGTAACTAGTAACGCGTTACTTCCATATAAACGCGTTACTTTCATAGTAACGCACTACTTTCATAGTAACTCGTTACTTTAACAAAATAACGATCTACAGTTACTTCAGGAAAGTAACGTCGTTACAGTTACTTATCAATCAATCTGAAAAGTAACGAAGTTACCAAGTAACGCGTTACTTTCAGTAACTCGTTAAAGTAAAGTAACTATTTTTTGTCGTTACTCCCAGCTCTGTAAAGGCCTTCACCAACTATATTTTCATGTTAATGAGAAGGAAAGGAGATATTGTGAAAAAACTGTTTCATCGAAATTTTTCGATGGCGGCGCGGGCGGCAAAAATACGAGGTGGCAAAATAGAATTCGGAAAGAACTCGTCTAAACCTATGAAATTTTCAAAACACCCGAAAAACTTTCCAGGTAAAACTACCAAATTACTTCACTTTTTACCGTTTTTTTCTGCAAAGTTAAGGGAAAATCCTGATATCTCAAAATATTAATGAGATAGATACGGCAAATATGATATTTTCTGAAAGAGGACATTTTCAGCTTTTCGATAGAGATAGTATATTGTGTATTTAGGAGGAAAGTGACACATTCTGGGCCGACGGTATAAGTTGACGGGCAAGGCGTAGCCGAGGCCGGCAAACACCGATGGCCGAGAATGTGCTTTTCCACCGAAATACACATACTATTTTTTCTGCGATCGATTTAATTTCTGTTAAATATTTGTCTTTTTGTTCCAATTGTTCAGCAGTACGAGAATCACTTTCCCGGCCTAGGCCGGAAAAGTGATTCCAGTATTGTTATTCATTGATTCCTTAGCAACTATTGAAACATAATTTAAATAATAGAATATTGAGTTTTGCGACCTGTCAACGGTCAAAAATGCTACATTTGTTGTCAATCGCAGAAAAAATAATATACGGGATTGTATTTGAAAAACTCAATTAAAATGAACTTATAAATTGACGTGTTTAGACAACTATTTTGGACAGAACACTCTGTATGCTTAAATCGAAAAAAGAAGAAAATGTAGGAGCAACTAGGCTAACATTAGATTACATGTAAATTTTTAAGGGAAATTAATGTACAGTGGCGGAGATATGAAATTTTTAAAAAAGTAAGTTTTGGTCCATTTTTTCCTTCGAAAAATCATTACTTGGCAGCGCTGCATTCAACCCAAATACGATTTTAAAGTTGAATACAGAGCACATTAAATTTATGATTACTCTTTTTTGAGACACCCTGTATACTTGAAAATCATTTTTGGTTATAGCAGAGATGAAATGCTAAAACTTTTATATAGAACATTTTTCCATAAGTTCAACGGTTTGGCTACTATTGACCGAGGTGCGCTTTATAGATATCTGTATCTGTAATCATTGTCATTGGTATTAGCTGTCAATACAAATGACCATAGTCATAGATAAATGTTAAAACAAGATTGACATTAAAACACAATTTTTACTGAATGTGAATATATTTTGCACTTAATATTACATAAATAAAACAATACTGCGAAAAACGATAAACTAATATTACTTAAATAATATGTACAGAAAAACTAAAATAAAATAAATAGACGAGCAAGTATAATTAGGTAGGTAATTCATAAAATTAACATAGCCGGGTCACTTATACAAAAGACAAATTTATGAATAATAATAAATAAATAAAATGAAAAATTTGTCATTTGTAAAACGAATAGGTATAGGGAGTGTCAAAAAGGTCACACGTTTCATGCTGGACAAAAACTCAACCAACACAATACATTTGAAAATATTCCGTTATTTTTTCATTATAAGGACAGGCGCTATTTGCTATTTTCATTTTAATATTGCTTGCATTAATAAATAAGGCTTGACCAATGACTCTCATGATGAATTCATATTTTTTTTTTTCACAAAACAAGCGTAGATATTTAGCAAAACAATTCAAACTCACGATAAATAAACATCAGAATATTTTCAACTGCAGCTTTGTACATACACAGCAACGAGCCTATAATCCTCTATTGCAGATTAGCCTTTGAGGTATCCATAAGGAGATGCTAAGGCGGGAGACCCATAAGAAACTTGTGATGCGTAAGCAGCTGGCGCAGCATACGCACTGTGAGCAATGGCCGGTGCTGCAATTACTTTGTGTCCTACAGCGATGGGTGTAGGCGGATGAGAGGCATGTCCAGTCTTGAAAACAAAAAAATACTTTTCATTTCAAATTTAAATAGTTACTCCATAGCATGCATTATTAGATTTTATTAGATATAACTAAATTACATAGAAAGGAATGAAGTTTTCTCGGGTACAACAACCGAAAGGCGTGGAAATTGAAAATGAAGAGAAAGTTAAGAAAAATTAGAGGATTAAAAATGTTGGTCTTGGGCGGGATTCGAACCCGCATCCTCAGTATTGCCGGTGCTACGCTCTAACCAACTAAGCCACCAAAACCTTTTATCATTTGGTCTTAACTAATGAGGACATCCAAAACAGAAGTGTTGGTCTAATGCACCAGACTACCTGTTTTTTTTTTTTTGAAAAAGAAGAATAGAGTTATTATTGATAGTCTCGGAATGCGGAATCTCGATACAGAGAAGTGGATGTCAGGTTCTCTGAAGCACATCGAGTCTGATTACCAAAGCCTCCCCGACGGACTCGTTTTCGAATGAGTTTCGAAGCCTTGCTGCCAAAGGAGTGTGAAGTGTGTTCTGCTCAGTCAGAGACTGGAATACTTTGGAGTGGCAAAGGTTATCCCCGAGAAGTAAGCACCGGTCACACCAAGAAGCTGGCTTCGCCAAGTAGTTCGCATCTTCTGAGAGAAGCCTACAAGTCCCCCAAATGGAACAGTCATGTAATATCTGCAAAGGTAGCAGCGTTGAGCGGCTGTATTATTCTGAAACGACTCCAGATATAGCATAATATTAATAAAGAGCCCTTGTGCTGAAAAATTTAACCGGACGAGTAACTACCCGGATACTAGAGACCGTAACTCGCGAATATAACCTCGAAGGGCAGACCACTATATATAAGGACAGATTACAGGCAAAAGTAACCGAGCCCAATGGGCGGCTATTCCAAGTAGCGCTGCCATCTAACCAGAACTCTACATAATGTAGTGATCTCGAAAAAAACGAACCAGTAGCTGAGTTTTCTGTTACAGTATATGACGATGTTTTGATGCGTAGGTGTAAGTAAAGAAAGTACATAGTGGTTGAATATGTGGAAGACTGGATCTTTTCAAATGCATCCCATCTCAGCTACAAAGGCCTTAGAACCTATTTCTCTTAGCGGTCACCTTGTTTCCATAGCCTAGATTCCTGATGAGTTCTATTTTCATCTTTAAATTCTATTGAGACTACGTTTTCCATTTATGTATTTAGTTTGCTAAATTTGATTTTTAAGTACCAGCTTCTCGTAGATCATTTCATATTGCAGTCTAAACAAAATAAAATGAAATATAATTTTGAAAATCTCTACCTAAAAAATACTGCTACACTCCAAAGTAATTTTTTTCAATAGATGATCTGACTGAGGTTTGATTACATAGGTCAATTTTTCACTTTTCCTCACTGCCACTACCCATAAACAATCCATCCCCATTGCTCAGACACCCGGTAAAAATGGATTGTCCAACTACCCACATTTCCTAAACCTGCGACACATAAAAATCAAATAAAATCTCTTTATTGCGCATAAAAAAAATAACAAGCTATATATTTCCAGGATATTGTTTATGTTGGAGGTTAAAATAACCAAATTGTTTCATCTGATTGGATATAGAAGCATGCCAGTAATTCAGATGCGTGTATCATTTACAAGACATTAGCCGTATCCTGGTCACAGGGCTTCCGAGTCGCGCACATCGCATTATTGTCAGTTCCAGCCAGCGTTCCACCCAGCTGATCACTGATCAACCGATTATTTTTTTATTGTTTGTTTAAGTTTCAAGCCCCAATGTTATCGTGATCTGAAAATATGTACTTTCTGCCTCGCCCTTTCAGGATCTACGGTTCATATTCATTTATTGAAAACCTAAATTTCGATTTTTTTTATTTTAATGTTTTTTAGCACGAATAGCTTCTTTCTTTGAGACACAAAATGCAGACTTACCCAAAGTAACCTGTCCATCTAGTGGGATCTAGGCCTCATGAGTTACCATAAAAACAAAAAAAAAAACAAGTTTATGCAGTTGAGAGCATAGCGTCCCTTGAGCGCGTTATGTTTCTCAAATAAAATGCTAATTTACAAGGACTTGGATAGTTAGCACTAGACGGACTGGTTATTTTGCATTTTCTATCTAGAAGGCCTCAAGGCCTGTTCTAATTTTAAATTGAACATAAAGAGGTTATGTTATCAATTCACCAATAGTGGAGATCGAGGTGGAGATATTCCCTGCGTTAAAAAATAAAGTAAAGGTCCGCCACTTGCGGATTTATATAAAATATGTTAGTATCACCACTCGCAGATCTTGTTTTGTTTGTTTGTTGTTTGTGAAATTGCATCCAGTTCCTCATCCCTTTTATTTTCATAGCTGAATAAGTCTCCTAAGTGGAAAGGAAGATATAGATGAGTAACAATTTAGGAAGGAAACACCATTAATATCATAATATCATAACTGTAGCATAAAAATACAAGCAAAGAATCAAGCAAACATAAACAAATAATCAAAAGTGACAAACAAAGAAATAACATAGGATGCGCGCGACTCCGAAGCTCTGTGACCGGATTACGGCTAATGTCTTGTGTATCATTTACCCCAAATAACACCGACATGATGAAATATACCTAATTATTATTATATTCGCATAACTTTCAAACCACCCCTTAGATTAGGCCAATATTTTTAATCCATTCAGTTTATTTTTCTGCGTAGAAACGTGCTGCCTGAAATACAAATTCAAAACCAAGATACCAAATTTCTTTCAAAAAATATCCCTCCTACCTCAATGTTACTTTCCAGGCAACGATTAGTTATTACCCTACCTTATTTCCGTATTGTTTATTTGTGGTTGACCCTTACGAAAACTGAAAAATTAAGAAAGGAACTGGGGAATTAAACCCTTAGAACCCCTATCATAAAGTAAGCTTGATGAGTATAAGCGCTTACTAACAGAATAGTAGCAACAGCTTTTTTTTTTTTCCTATGTTTAGGTCCATAATCTGAACAGCTTTATTAATATTTATTTTTTCTCCAAACGTCAAAAAAACATCACTTTGTCAACACCTGTCAAGATGGTAGAAATTCAATTTCTATGTTGCTAGGCAAATCCAGGAGGTTAACACCTGTCGAGGTGGTAGAAATTTAATTTCTATGCTGCTTGGCAACCCCAGCGGCAGCAAAAGTACTTTTGGTGCCGCTGGAGCGGCAGTAAAAGTACTTTTAGTGCCGCTTGTACTTTTACTCCCGCTCAACCATCCAGTTACCCCCGAGCTTACCACATTCGTTTGGAGAAAAAATAGCGTGTTGCATACGGAGTAGAAGCACTTTTTTGTGCTTCAGCAGTATTGCAAGCCTCATTACGTTCGGCTCGCAAACCTACTGCTTCAGCACAAAAAAGTAAAGCTTCTACTCCTAATACAACAATATACTATTTTATACCTATAGGGAAGGAAACCAAAAACCAAACACACTAAACAAAACCTTATTGGAAACAGCTGCTGACGTTCAATAATATTTCTATGGTTGTTAGTTCTGAAATTGGATCGAGAATTGGGGATAAAAATCGTCACAAATTTATAGCAGCAATAAACTTGCAGGGAGTAAAACGGCCTTTAGTCGAAAAGTTGCCAGAATAGATGCAACTGCCCTAAATAACTCAGATATAAAGCCTGAATTACAGTGCGAAATCAACGAAATTTTCAAAGAATACAAAGCAAATACTTACTTGACTGATGTAAATAAAAAATGCAATAGGTTCTCTTAAAAAAGATCAAGGGTGTTTAAAGATATACTCGAAAAATAGCTAGAGGCGCGTGACAAAAATGGAATAATTCTCCACTTGATGAATGAGAGAAGCAAAGTGAAAAACAGTAACAAAGAGAAAAAAAACAATTAAAAAAAAATAATAACCGAATAAAAATCAGACAAGCAAAAGAACAATATTAACGGAAAAATGTGAGGAGCTGGAAGTACCTACATACAGAAGTTATATGTTATAGAGTAGGTCTAAATACAAAAAAAAAAACTGGCATCACAGGAATGGAAACAAAATTAACAGATCTCATTGAACACAAAAGAAAAGAATTGGGAGAACATTCTCAAACTAGACTAGAATATGATGAACAATGTAAAAGTCGTACATACAAGCTATCAAGTTCTTCTAGATGAGTTTCCTAGTGAAATATTTGAGCTTGTTGAGCGATAGGATATTTTAGTGAGTTTATTTAATGCAGTCTACAAGACAGGAACCATACCATACGAATGACTCAAATCATCTTCTGGGAATCTTCCCAAAAGAGCTAAACAATGCGGCAACTGCAGAACAATAAGCCTACTGAGTCATACTTTGGAAGCTCTCAATCGACCGATTATTCATCTTTAAAATCTAGAACAGGACATAAAGTGGTACTCAGTTTGGTTGCAGAGATGGTTTGGGTACAGGAGAGGATCTACTTGCAGTAAATATTCTAGTTCAGTGCTGCATGGATACGAATCAGCCACTCTATGTATGCTTTATGAATTATAACAAAGCATTTGATAAAGTGCATCACGAGAAGTTCATGAAAATTTTTGGGAGGAGGAACCTGGATATCAAAATTTGCTCAAAAATCTATTTCATTCAAGAAACAGTAATCGATCGATAATCATCAAACACATGAAGCGAGGGGTTAGACGAGGCTACGTTAACATTCAATCTCCACTTCTTCGCACATGGAAATGGTAAGATGCTGTGTGTTTTCGTTGTTTTTTATGCCATAGAACTCATAGAAGCGTGATCTCTTAGAAAATAATTGAAGCAGAGAAGACTGGAAGCTTTTGGGATATAATTCCACCGAAAGATTCCCAAAATAACACCACGCACACAAATGATGATGAGAATGAAAGAAGATAAAGAGATGGTGAACACCATGAAAAACCGTAAACACCAATATCTTATTGGACCCATTATGTGAGCAGAAAAATACAATCTACAGCAAATAATGATGGAGAGGAAAATTCAATGAAGACATAGGTCGAAGACGTCAATCCA